GGGGGAGAGAGAGGGGGGAGAGAGGAGGGAGAGAGAGAGGAGGGAGAGAGAGAGGAGGGAGAGAGAAAGGAGGGAGAGAGAAAGGAGGGAGAGAGAAAGGAGGGAGAGAGAAAGGAGGGAGAGAGAAAGGAGGGAGAGAGAAAGGAGGGAGAGAGAAAGGAGGGAGAGAGAAAGGAGGGAGAGAGAAAGGAGGGAGAGAGAAAGAAAGAGAGAGAGAAAGAAAGAGAGAGAGAGAGAGAGAGAGAGAGAGAGAGAGAGAGAGAGAGAGAGAGAGAGAGAGAGAGAGAGAGAGAGACAGGCAGACAGAGACAAACGGACAGAGACAGATGGAGAGAAAGATAAAGTGAAATAGAAAGAGAGAAAAAAAGGAGTGGAGAGAAAGAGAGAGAAAAAAAGAGTAGAGAGAGAGAGAGAGAGAGAGAGAGAGAGAGAGAGAGAGAGAGAGAGAGAGAGAGAGAGAGAGAGAGAGAGAGAGAGAGAGAGAGAGAGAGGAAAAACACACTTTCATTTTTTCTCGCTGAAGGAAGTTTTGGTTAAGCATTTATTCTAAACAAAAAATACAGATCATGCACCATTTTTACACATGTCCTAGATTCTGTGGATAAATCTGACACTGTACGTGCGCATTTCATTAAAAAAAAAACGAAACCTGCGCATGTAAATAGACTCTGTGACTTGGAGGAAACTTCTGGCATCAGCAAATTATGTATCAACTGACATTTGTGCATCATTAGACTGTACATTAAAATAATATTAGTCAGAATATGTTACACCAGCGGGTTCTTGATGCACAAATATACTTCGAGGGCATTTGAGATGGTGGTACATCCGGAGACATCAATTGTTATAGATATGTAGAAATGTACATCATTTGGCATCGTTGTCTGATTAATAAAGCCGTGTTTAGAACATAAAAAGGTGGCGACAAGTTAAAAATGATAAAAGTATCTAATATCCCTGATCGCTCTGTTGTCATACCCTTGCATCTTCATTGACCAAGCGTGGAGATCTCTGCACTTTATAAAATCTGATTTTACTTTGTACGGAAAACTGATTCTGCTAATGTTCTTCGTATCTAATTTATAGTAGCATGTTTTTTCACAAATTCTGTGTGTGTCTTAATTCGCCTCCTGGCCTGCCCTATATAAGCACCAGACATTGCTTTGGCGTGAGTCAATCTCGTGCCTGTGAGTGGTTTCCTGGAGGCGGCGAGGTTCACGCTCCAAGGGAAGACATCAATTATACTTACTGCACCAGTATTTGGAAAAGTCACTGCATTTATGATAATCATCATCTGCGCGATGTTGAATTTGTGAACCAATCCTTATTTATTAAGAAACAATCGCACATTAGCAATAATAATAGCACTGAGTGACTAATCTGAAGAAAAACAATTCGTGTACATTATCATCACGTGCTTCTAAATCCACGAACCTCTGGTTCCCCACCTGGGAGGGAGGATGAGGGGCTTGAAAATTATGAGTTCGAAATTAACTTGATTTGGTCTCACCTCGGCATGAACATCTAATCCTGTCCCATTTTCAGCCTTGGGGCCAGAAGATGCCAGACTACTATCGGTCTGGGGCGACAGAATAGTAAGATTAACCAACAGTTTACGCTCTACTGTCAAAAATAAAACGGTATCTTCAACTCAGTACGCAGTAGACCATTAATATGAAGAGCAGATGCATGTAAGAAAGAGCAAGCGCATTAATATTGCCTGGGATATATAGCCACCGACCCCACCACGACCAACAAACATCCTAGACATATGGCAAGATACAGCGCACCCGAACCACGAAGTATTCATTCTCATGCGATGTCACTGAACATACCTACGATGTTGCAACAGGAAACAGATGGGGGTGATTGCGCCCCCCCCCCCCCACCCTCTCTCCACAACACGAACAGCAAACCTCTACGTATGTACCCAGGCCATAGATGCATTATGAAATTTACCGGGAAACCGGACACATAGGAAGACCACATACACAGTCACATACTACCGCATAACTTTACTGTCACACCGTGAGGGTCCGTGACTATTTGACAAATACCACGTCAAAGGAATATGAGCCATTATGCTAATTCTGACATGCACACATTGTGGTCCCCACCACCTGAGATTTCCATTACGTACAGGACAGAGGTAGAAATGGTCACGCCCCGGTACACCTGAGTCTCATACAAAAAGTATGGGGCCCTATCACTGTCGTCTATTGGCTATTATTAGTTGCGAGTGATAGGTTTCCAGTCTAGTGGGTGTCCTTAATATCTATCTGGGATGTACCGGGAATCGGTGCGGTTTTTCCTCAAAGTTCTATCAGATATCGGGTCCAAGATTATCTATGCATAGTATTCGGCGACAAGAAACTATTCAATAACCATTCAAGTGCATTTTAATGACCGTACCTATTGTAAGGATGGTCAATATGCAGTATAAGGTAGTGGCAGAGTTAGGTAATAAAACCTAGATGAAATGATAGAACAATACAAACCAAGACATAGTTCTTCTATGGTAATATGTGTGCAAATGCTTCCCAAGGCTGCTATACGTAAAAGAAAAGGGAAGAAGATGGGTTACTTTCGAAACAATTTTGATATTTTTCTGCATGAAATCCACTGCTTTCAATTATTCTAGGCATTGTTCCTTGTGCAAATGGGCGACCTAACCCAACATCCAACCTAACCTAACACCGTGGTATATATTCTGCCCCCTGGACCCCCGGGGTAATATATATACCTAGCACCCTTGGGAAGCATTTGCGCACACATTGCTATAGAAGAACTTTGTCTTGGTTTGCATTGTTCTATCATTTCATGTAGGTTTTATTGCCCAACTCTGCCACTACCTTATACTACATAGTGTCCCCTAATTGTAACGAGTAACAGGAAAGTAAAGGGCTCCATTACCACTTTCGTGATGTTTACCTTCCAGTTGAAGCACTCCGGGATAATTCGCATATTACAGATATCAATCACACGAAAGTCAGACTGACACTGTTTTTTCGTATAAGACCGGGACCAAACACATACGCAAGGTATACCTTTATTGTTTTAAGTTTACCATATATTAATAAAATATGCAATAAAAGTAACTGTTTAAGCAATAGCGTGTTAGTTACCAAAGCTGTTCCATTAAGTAATATAAAGCAGTTGACCATATAAGAAAATGGATAAGACTAAAACAACACAGAATAAAATCGAAAAATGTAAGGACTAACTGTGGCCATTAAGAAATAATTGTTAAACAAAAAAGTAAAAATGGGTTCGGGTGAATGACCTCAAAATAACAAAATAAAGTACAAAAAACGACAAATTTAGGGGATGTAACTCAACTGTGTGCATTAGATGTTAAACAGAAATTATCACAACTAAAAGCTAAGGGAACGCCGCAACAAAAATGTAACAAAAACACCTAAGGTAAACAAAGCAGTTGCCAATCAGTAATTAAATCATATAAAGAACGAAGCGAATAATTAACGTAAAGCTTAAAAGAGGCAAACATGCTGTCATACACGTAAATTTAACCAAGAAAGTGAAATACATAATCTATAAAAATATATAACTGTATTGACTGATGACGGTCATATACAAGTGAAATCTTCATTAGAGTAACCTAAATAAAAATAAATACTCAAACAAATAAACTCATGATTTAATCTGAATATAAGAATTGAGCACTGAAAGAAGGTACCTCGAAATGAAAGAAGATCGTTAATTACTGTATCATATGTACAAGTGCGAGTGTGTGTGGAAAGGAAGCGTGAAACAGGAAGAGGACGAGCGAGACAATGTGAGAATTCTAAAGACAAGTCGATGATGTGACAGACGGAGGGAGGATTCTTACGATGTGGAGGGGAGTGTGTGGGACGGGGAGATGGACAGGACGCGGGAGACCATGAGAAAATTCTTATGGCGAGGAGAGGAAAAATGAGTAAAAAATCCGAGAGACAATGAGAGGATCCTAAGACGAGAAGCTGCATGGGACGGGGAGAGGAAGAAGAGCACTCGAGATACGTTTTTTAAAACGGAGGAAAGATTCGTGAGACAGGGAGAGGACGCGAGAGATGGGGAGACGATGCGTGAGATGGGAAGATGTGCGGGAGATGGAGAGAGGACGGGAGAGTACGTGAGAAACGGAGCGAAGATTCTTTAGACAAGGAGAGGATGCGTGAGACGGAGATTCTTTTTAACACAATAGGAATTCTGCTGTTCACGCTCAGAGTCTTAGCTTTACTTCAATAAACATAAATATATGAGTACTTGGAAAGTTAGTAAAATTAGGTTGCAAAGCAAGACTTGTAGTAATATGTGCAACTTTTACTCATACTCCGTCTTACACACACACACACACACACACACACACACACACACACACACACACACACACACACACACACACACACACACACACACACACACACACACACACACACACACACACACACACAAAACACACACACACAAAACACACACACACACACACACACACACACACACACACACACACACACACACACACACACACACACACACACACACACACACACACACACACACACACACACACACACACAAAAAAACACACACACACACACACACACACACACACACACACAAAAAATGTACGCCCAAACCAAGATGTTGGCAAATGTACACTAGATTTTCCTTGATAACTTAATATAAGCAAAACTTGGCTTATACTTTAAAAAAGTGAATAAAAATGGGAAGACACAAGAGACATTAGCCTTGAACTTTATTTAGAGGAAATGCGTAAGGAAACTGCACTGTTTCTTTTGATAACAGGTAAAGTTGGCTACATGTTAATCAACTCCTGCATATGACTCATCAACATCAGCTTATCTTGATGTATGTTTGTTGACTCAAGTATTAGGCTAAAAATCCTCAAGATTCTTTTTTTATTCTTTAATTAAACTCCTGGGAATTTAAAGCTCTCAGTTGCTACCTGTAATATGTGGGTAAATGAACACACAAAATCACTTTTCATTTTCTTTAATACATTACATTACATAAATTATATTGTATCCTGGATGATATTTTAATAATACCATCCTGAAGTATAAAAAGTAATCAGTAAACATATAATTTTCTTATGTAAAAACATCAAGTCGTAATTTTCCTTCATTTTCTACAAAGTATGTCATGTCTGCCAGCGTCTGCTCTACCATGGCCTCCTCACAACGCTCATGCATCTGTTGAGTAAAATGAAAGATATGTGAGAGTGCAAATATAAAAACAAAAAACAATCGCCACAAATAGTAATAACTTGTTTATCTCTAAAAGAAAGGTTAAACCATTGAGACTTTTTCTATGTTTCCTAATATAAAAGCATATGCTAATAAAGCCATTGGCACTAATTACTCTATCATAACTAGTCAAATGGATGAAGAGAGATATGTAATGTCATTGAAAACTATATTTGAAAAAAAAAGAAAAAGAAAAAAAAGTAATTTCTATAAAAATTCTCAAATATTCATAAAAAAAGAAAAAAAAAAAGATGAACATATTACCTGTAAACTCATCTCCTTTTTATATAAACATATTCAAAATAAAGATTGAATTAAATAATCTATGATTGAAACAAAAGAAACTCTTTTATGGCAATCCTTTCCATTTACATCCAATTCCATACTAAAGAGCTAAAATTAGAACAAAGAGCTAAAATTAGAAATAAAAAAGCAGAAACACTTACCCCTCTGAATTCCGGTTCCTTGGGTGGATGCTTGAAATCTGGTCCAAAGTTGACAGAGACTGTAATATTTCGATAGAGGGACACAGCTGGATAATATGTACCACCATAGATGTCTTGGAAAGCCTCACCTATACATTTGCCATTTCTGTAAAACAATTTTTTTATTAAATGATCAACCAGAGTAACGGTGAATATATTTTGGTGGTAATACGGATAATGTTTAAATACTGTCTTCCTTAAAAAAAAAAAATCTTATTATAATAATCCACAATTGGGGACAAACAAATAAGTATTCTTGAAGATGAGAAACTATAGAGACAAGGTCTTGCTTCAAAACCCAATTTTTTTTCTCCTGTGCTGAGTATTAATATAAGGCTAAATAATATTGCAACTGATAAGACTAAGTAAAGAAAGCTTTAAAAATCTTAATAGAGGACATCCTTTTCTAGACATTGACGGGTTTCCTATACAGATATCAAGATACATTCAACACAAAGCTACAACTGCATGTATGTAAAGTTTCATTGTTGTTGCATTTTAGCATGATTTTTTGTTTTATGATAGTTGCAAGTCATGAAGAAGATATATATTCTGTATCAAAATAAGAATACTATTAAAGGCTGATTAGCCTTCTGTTGGTGTACTGCTAATTAACATGTTTTTACTAATGCAAACGGTTTATCTGTATATGAACTACAAATATGAATAATATGTCTAACTGATATTTTACTACTTTTGATGTACATGATAGTTGCAGATACATTTTGAATGTTCTTTCTTTTATTGCTTATAAAGCAGATTTGTGGGGGGAAATCTAATACAAAAAATGTCTCTCTCTCTCATTTCTTTTACATATATATGTATTTTCTATATATTTCTTTTATATACAGAATAACTGGGAATATTTTAATTAAGTGTGCATATAAATTTAGAAAAAGAAGAAGAAGAAAAAAGAAGAAGAAGAAGAAAAAAGAAGAAGAAGAAAAAAAAAAAAAAAAAAAAAAAAAAAAAAAAGAAAAAAAAAAAAAAAAAATCATATACAAGAAAGCAACCAATAAAGCTGAAAAAGTAAGGAAATGGATTGAAAATCTGATGAAGCTACATTAGAACAAAGAGCTAAAATTAGAACAAAGAGCTAAAATTAGAACAAAGAGCTAAAATTAGAACAAAGAGCTAAAATTAGAACAAAGAGCTAAAATTAGAACAAAGAGCTAAAATTAGAACAAAGAGCTAAAATTAGAACAAAGAGCTAAAATTAGAACAAAGAGCTAAAATTAGAACAAAGAGCTAAAATTAGAACAAAGAGCTAAAATTAGAACAAAGAGCTAAAATTAGAACAAAGAGCTAAAATTAGAACAAAGAGCTAAAATTAGAACAAAGAGCTAAAATTAGAACAAAGAGCTAAAATTAGAACAAAGAGCTAAAATTAGAACAAAGAGCTAAAATTAGAACAAAGAGCTAAAATTAGAACAAAGAGCTAAAATTAGAACAAAGAGCTAAAATTAGAACAAAGAGCTAAAATTAGAACAAAGAGCTAAAATTAGAACAAAGAGCTAAAATTAGAACAAAGAGCTAAAATTAGAACAAAGAGCTAAAATTAGAACAAAGAGCTAAAATTAGAACAAAGAGCTAAAATTAGAACAAAGAGCTAAAATTAGAACAAAGAGCTAAAATTAGAACAAAGAGCTAAAATTAGAACAAAGAGCTAAAATTAGAACAAAGAGCTAAAATTAGAACAAAGAGCTAAAATTAGAACAAAGAGCTAAAATTAGAACAAAGAGCTAAAATTAGAACAAAGAGCTAAAATTAGAACAAAGAGCTAAAATTAGAACAAAGAGCTAAAATTAGAACAAAGAGCTAAAATTAGAACAAAGAGCTAAAATTAGAACAAAGAGCTAAAATTAGAACAAAGAGCTAAAATTAGAACAAAGAGCTAAAATTAGAACAAAGAGCTAAAATTAGAAATAAAAAGCAGTACACTTACCCCTCTGAATTCCGGTTCCTTGGGTGGATGCTTGAAATCTGGTCCAAAGTTGACAGAGACTGTAATATTTCGATAGAGGGACACAGCTGGATAATATGTACCACCATAGATGTCTTGAAATTCGGATTAATACATCATTTATGATCTGCATAGTAGATAATGTTGAAATCTACTTTTTATGACTTTTAACCCCTTGGTGCCGGGTGATGCCGATTGGTGTGAAAACAAACCGCTCAAAAGCTGGCGTGCAGCCGTACGCCGCAGTGGCGAGCCAGTGATTCGGGCTGATGTCCCCTACTCACACGCTCTGTTTGCTAGAGCATAGAGTTTGTTTTTTTTGTTTTGTACACCCGGCGTCATTGGGTTAAGAGTGTATAAACAGAGTAAAACTACTGAAAACAGAGTAAAACTACTGCTCCTAACAAATACAGCTTTTTACTATAAGACATGGTATATCACATTTCTCTTGTACCAAAACATTATCAACTTACTTGTAGAACAGAATTTTGGATCCTTTGAGAGCTTTGAGGTTTTTGATAGCCTCAGGAAGGTCATCTTTATCCTCGTAGTACAGGTGAGAGCGAAACTTGACCAAAGGCTGGATGGAAATATTAGCATTATTAGGAGAGTAAGTATAGATTGTGTTCCATTTTGCACTACTAATGTAGTTCAATTAGATGCTTCTATAGACATGGCTTATCAAACTCACTTCACTGTGGGAACACCAATGAAAAAATACTCTCCACATAGAGTAAATTGACAATGTGTAAAGAAAGAAAGAAAGAAAGAAAGAAAGAAAAAAAAAGAAAAACACACATGCACGCACCATGCAAGTAGCACTGTGACTAATAAATATGGAAAAAAATATCTCAACATCAATCATGGATCCCATAAATATTCATTTTGATACTAGGCATAAATCCTACCTTATCTTTATAAGTAGGAGGAAAGCGGGAAACAGGATTTTTCTCTGGTAACTTTATCATGATTCCCAATACGTCCCCCTCTGTGAAGCCAGTGTCTGCGTAGTGCTTCCCTCTTGACTCATGGAAAACTGTTCCTTTTCTGAAAAATGGTTTCACACCTTCACCAATAGCATATTTTACTAAATCTAAAAAAAATCATATTTTTAATATCCAAATATTTCATTTACCCTGTCCGAATAATATCATACTTTATTCACATGGACAACCAACTAAGCTAATAAATACAGCTGGAAAATAATCCACAAGGAAATCATTCCCAATGCCTAACACTAAACTTGATGAAAATGTAAGACAGCAGCCGGTAGGGAAAGCCTTATCCCATTCTAAAACCTTCAAAAAGTTGGTATCCCCACTCACCTTGATCTCCAGGAGTAACCAAACTTATCGTAGCCAAGTGGCGCCTGGAGGTTGGCAAGCTGCTGACACCATCCAAGTCGCGTGTGGGAGCCTTCGGGTTGGTCTTCTATCGTGCACTCCCAGTACCAGGTTCCTCGGCTCACTCCTGCCAGATCCAACACCACAGATTATGAATTTTTCAGGAGGGAAAAGGGAAGCTTGCCATACTTACAAAGGTTATAGATACTGCCAGGCACTGGTTATATTTATACCTAAGTAAATAACAAACAAAATAAAAATAACTATAGAAATATAAAATATCAACAAATCTGTGAAATTACATATACATAAATTTGGCAGACATTACTCATGTGTTCATAAAAATAGTCAATGTAATGGTAATTAAGCGTGTTGGGGCATATGAACTGTCAATTTATCTAAACTAAGCCCTTATATATATGAATTATCTAGTTACAGTAACAAGTTTTACGATTTTTCAAGAAAAGACAAAACAAGACAATAATACAAAGAAACACTGATATCAATCATCTCCATAAAAATCGGCTAACACATTCTATAGTGAAACAATGAACAGCTAAAGCTGACAAATATGAACAATAAAATAATTGAAACATATAATTATGAAAGGAAAAAATATACATCAAAGCTACTTTCAGTTCTATATATATGTGGAGACTACTACAGGAATTCCATAGAATATGTATAGAGGTGGTAGAAAAACACATAATGCAACAACTAGTTTTTTCATTGTGGGTTTTTCTACCATAGTATCTATACGGAAGAGTGTTTTACCGTTCATGTATGTAGGTACAACTAGATGGTAGACTGGAGACAAATCACAATGTAGGTGTTCATCTGTCCATACTCTCATTAATCCTGATAACATATATAGATAGCAGCTCCTTCCATTCCCACTACCATATAGCTCCAAGATGAGTTTTCATATAGCCAGTGATGAGAGCTAAGAGTTTAATAAATAGTCTCTAAATGATTTATGAAATGTTGCTTAAAAATAACTGTTGTAGTAAGTCTGTCTAACTTGAGTACTAGTCATTTACACACACCATCACTAGTGTTTGTAAAATTGTATTTCTGTTATTGCAAATTTTTTTAAAGAAAATAGATATCATTCAAAAAGTAAATTGTTTGTCAAATAAACTATACCACCCCATATCAGGTTGCCATAAGGAAATAATTGTATAAAGTGTAGCATTATGAAAAGAAACATGTGATTTCAGCATTGCACATAAACTTAGAAAAGTTAATTTCATTGTTGTCTGCATAAAACTTTTGCATGAAAAACCCTATCATTAATAGCAATAATAACAGTAAATCTAACTTACCCTTAATTTCTAACAGTAACAAGCCATTACCAAAATAGCTAAATGTAATGGAAAACACATTTGGTTTTGCTTATACAAAAATCAGAGGTTACATATCCTGTTTGAGAAACAATGTTTGAGACTAAAAAGAAGGAAGGAATTAGCTTGAACTTAAGCCTAACCTATTCACCAGAGATGGCGTGTGATGGTCTAGTGGTTACATTATCATTTAGCAATCTTGTTGACTTGAGTTTAAGTCCTACACTGTCAGTGGTTGGTAACTCAAGCCATTGCTTGTACATAGGGTAATTTAGAAGAGAAATAAACATACAGTCGCAATTTGACTGAGGTCATATGAGCTTTTCACCAAACCCTGAATTAGTATTAATGTGCTAATATATTAGCTGTACTGCAGATAGCATACAGTGATGCCATGGCATAATTATGCTGCACTGTTAATGGCATGTTGTGATGCCATGGTGTATTTGGTTGTTCCATGGATGGTATTTAATGGTGCACTGTAAATGTCACCTAATGATACCATGGTGCAATTCAGCCACATGGTGAAATTTGGCATAAATCATTTGCTCAGTGGATGGCATGCAAAAGGCCATAGTGCAATCCTAGCATGGAGCAATGTCATAGGCATCACAGGGAATACATATTTTGCTGCAAGTTCAAAGTCACCCACATGCTGCATTGGGGCCAGACAGCTGTTTAGGCATGCCATGGTGCCTGTATTAGTGGAGAGAGAGAGAGAGAGAGAGAGAGAGAGAGAGAGAGAGAGAGAGAGAGAGAGAGAGAGAGAGAGAGAGAGAGAGAGAGAGAGAGAGAGAGAGAGAGAGAGAGAGGGGGGGGGAGACAGAGGGAGACGGAGGGAGTGGAGGGAGGGACAGAGGGAGAGAGGGAGAGAGGGAGAGAGAGAGGGAGAGAGGGAGAAGAGGGAGAGAGGGGGGGAGAGAGGGGAGAGAGAGGGGGAGAGAGAGGGGGAGAGAGAGGGGGAGAGAGGGAGAGAGAGAGAGAGAGAGAGAGAGAGAGAGAGAGAGAGAGAGAGAGAGAGAGAGAGAGAGAGAGAGAGAGAGGAGAGAGAGTGAGAGAGAGAGAGAGAGAGAGAGAGAGAGAGAGAGAGAGAGAGAGAGAGAGAGAGAGAGAGAGAGAGAGAGAGAGAGAGAGTGAGAGAGAGAGAGAGAGAGAGAGAGAGTGAGAGAGAGAGAGAGAGAGTGAAAATGCTTTGTGATAATGTAAATCAAAGTATAATTAGAAGAACTAAATTAAAGAACTAATAAATAGTAAATAAACAGAATAACATTATAAGTGAACTTTCAACATACCATGAGTTGCTCTGATGAGGCAGTATCCCTTGTCTCCTGTTACTGCCAGCCGGTCATCAGCAGTGCGGAGCTGAGGTGCACGGTCATGGAGAGCCAGAAGGACAGCCCCTGGACTAAGGGCACGGTAAAGCCAACCAGGAATAGGTTTGCCTGCCCAGTCACTACTCTCATCAAACTCTTGTCTGTGAAGTTCCAATGTATAAATTCTATGTGTTTCTTGTACTTATAACTGTAGCTATTGATATGCAAAGGAAAAATCTGCATATAAAATACAAACATGTATACTTGCTAGTGCATTGACAATTGCAGTTCTGTCTGTAAAAGTATGGATCTGTGTTTTAAGCCTACAGATAGATATATAATGATGTATACAGATGCACAATATCCATCGATACAAAGTATCATACTGCAACTTCTGATATGGGAGGGCAATGTCATCCCCTTACACTCTTACCTAAAGGGTGCATGAGGATCTGGCTCTGCAAGAATGTATCTATAACCATCTCTGTTGAAGGGATGGTCAACAGGGTATCCATGCAACTTGGGCGCAGGCATGTCCCCACGTGCCTTCTTGTTGCCAGCAGTTGTGTCAGGCATTTTTCGCTTGGCTCCTCGCCCCTTGCCACTTGTCTGCTGTTGAGCTGTGTGAAAGGAGCCACCAACGTGAAAGCTGTATTAGTGCAGCTTCATAGTCACATTACTCCAGTCCTTGGAGTAATCAAATATTTAATGCAAAAACATATCAATTTCTTTTTAATTATTCATAACTGTTAGTTTTGGTTAAGAGCTTTAATGCAGTGGCAATCAAGCAAATAATAAATAGATTGATGTGTGAGGAAAAGACAATTAACCATACTGCATTATTTCACAAAACAGCTTTGAGTGTACTAGAAACTGACATGCAACTGAATGCAAACATGCAACAACATCAGCAATGATTACATTAAAATACTTTTTGCCATCTCTGACCAGTTATGAAAACAATTAAAGCACAAATTAATAGTACCAGCTGTCATACCTATCAAATATGTTAATGCTAAAAAGCAATACATATTAGGGTGTTAATCCATCTATTATTCAGAAAATATCCAATAATCATTGTTACAGTGAAAAAGACAATTTCTTGTAGAACAATTTTCCCAAAAGTTTATGTCATCACCCTTAACTCCCCAGGAAAATAAGCAGGTTTATGAAAATCACATAATCAAACTGTAAAAGGCCCTTTCTATTATGATCTTCACAGTCACCTTACCCCAGGAATCTGAAATCAAATAATGAAAATAAATTCTCGTGTCTACCAGTTAACAGCTCCTGTGCCTACTTCTAGTGCAAGATGCAAGACAATATGACAACATTCTCTCCTTTACTAAATGCTCTTTGATACTTATTTATAGTACATATTATCTACAGGAAAAAATAATAAAATTAAGAAAACTGACTGTGAAATAACATTACATGCACATGGCAAGCTATGACCAAGCTACCTTAATACTGACTGCACAACATTGACACAAACAATGAAAAAGGCAGTCGCTACACTTTACTGTTAATTATCGGCAATGTTTAACTGTCTAAGGGGGGAATTAGAAAAATAAATGGACATATACTTAATACTACACATAGTTACGAAGTTGATTAGTTTCATCAACTTTCTTTTCTACAAGGCATTCTGAATATATTCTACCCTTGTGTCTCGAAACACTTGTGCCCAAAATACATACACACATATGAATTCAAACATTCTTGTAACATATGATGAAGTCATTGCTTATGCAGACACACACACATAAGATTAAACATCAAGAAATAAGTATATAAAGACACTTTGAGGCATCAATGAGTTATAGGTGAAAGCATTTCATGTAACCTAATATTCTGAGGTGAACCGAAGACAGACCCTGTGCTTATCCAACAGACTGTATTCAACACCTATAATAACATACAAAAATAAAAGTGTTAAAGGCAATACCCTTTTGCCTCCTGGGAATATAGGTGCTCACATCTAGCAATTATCATGAAAAAACAGTTATAATATCACAAATAACAAAAATAAATAAAACATCAACAAAAACAAAATAGCTATTCAATTACTGGAAACAGTAATAAACGCATCAACCATGCATGCAATCATGTATTAATCCCCTCACATCCACAAAAGTGTGCCTATCCTCAACATTTCAGTCACACTCCTCAACAGAAGCCACTTTAACTATTCAAACAGAGACAGCACTGCTGCAACACGCCAAAGATAGCAAAATATTTCAAATGTCCCTGATTAAAGCTCCTGCCTGCTTTTGATGCTAAAATCCTTCTGTGCCATTTTATATGTTCTTATCACCATTTCCTAGGCCTAAATCAAGTAAATGCAGAATGGGGGGAAAAGGTAATTTGGCAGCATTCAATTTTTTGGTAAAAGAAAGAGAGAAAAGGAGAATTAATAAGTTAAAAAGAACACATGAGAAAAAATAAGAATGAAAAGAAGCAGAGCCCTTCTTTATAGATAGAAGATCTTTTAGTTGTGCTTCCTGAATGTCAACACTTTGGTGCACAGTGAAATACATGACATGCAGGATATGAATTTTACTCAGATTTTTAAAAATGGGGAAAACAAAAGAAAGGGAAGAAAATAAAGAAAGAAAAAGAAAAAAAAGATGAAGTTAAAAAAAGGAAAATAGAAAGCAATGGTATACTTAATATATCTAATTGCCCTTCGTAATACAAAACGTTCCTTGCTATAATGACAGATGTCTTATAACTGGTTTATATGCCTTGAAATTCTAGACATTATTTGATTAATTGTCGATCTGTACAGACGTATCAAATCTAACCATATTTCTAAATGAAAAATGGTTGATCACAATTTGCATGTCAGTATCAAGATACAATATTGGGTATAAAAGTATAATGTAAATGCCATAAATATTTCTAAACTCCAAAATATCATCAAAAAAAAAAAAAAAAAAAAAGTTAGACTGCAGACCAGTTGATTACCAAAATAATTACTGAAATAAAAAGAGCAAGAATCAACAGACAAGTACATAACATATCTGAGTGACAAATGCTGACAACTGATAAAAAACAATAATAAGGAGTAAGGAATAATAAACAAATATCACAAACTAAGAAAGTAACCATGACAAGGAATACAAAAATAAAATAAAAATGTAAAGAAAAAAAAAAAGAAAAGAAGAGAGAGAAAAGAAAAAAGAAAAGCAACAAAAGTTCAATAGATCTGTGAAAGATACAATAAAAATATAACAATCAAACAGTAAAATAGCTAAAATAAATTAGAATAATGTAGGTGGTATTGGTGGTTGTGATACAAATGAAAAGATAAAGACAAGAAAATCTCAGCACCAAAGTTATTGTCAGTGTAATGTATATTAAGCCACATTGTTCCCATATTTGGCTGATTTATAATAACAACTGACAAAAAATGTTAGAAGGCTTGCCATAACCCAATTGCTGTAGGTGTCAATCCTTTCTATTATGTTCTATTAGCTGAAATCAGTTATCACATAAAAGCAAGAATGGCATTGTACCACTGAAATACTGATCTGTGTGCAGTAAAATTTCAATGTACACCATGCTATTCCCAAAGCTTTTGTAGGTATGAATAATTACCTACTTACTAGCAATTCTAGTTCTTCAAGGGCAATTACATATATTCAACATATCAGTATCAAAAATAAGTATAAGATATCCAAAAACAAGGAACAAAATCTTGAGCCTCTAAAACAAAGACATAGGAACATTATCTGAGCTCAGTAAACTTGAAGCATAATACCAATATGTAATCTAGCTTGCAAATAGAACAATACGAGTGAGCTCTACATTTATCAACTCATTTTCACTAACTCTAAACAACATAAATCAACCATCTACTACAGCCATGACCACAGAAGCTCCCTCAGTAAGCTCTCCAAATATTACACCCATTAACTTTATGCACAAGCACAGACAACATAAAGATACAAACAAGCATCTTACCGGCTCCTGGTGACCCCTCTCACCCGCTCACACACCAAGTGTTTACAAAAGGCTGGTTCTTGAACTTTAATAGTTTGAAAAAAGGAAAAGAAAAAGAAAAACACAAAACAAAAAACAAAAAGGATGGACAGGGAATGGAGCCTTCGAATGTACAGCCTCCTTTATCCATTCCTTTTTTCCCTCTGACGACAAAGACATGTTCACAACCGTGTGGCTCTCATAAGGGTAGGTCAGAACTGCAAACATTTATTTCTCCACATCAGAGTAAACAAAGAAAAAAAAAGAAAAAGAAAAGAAAAAAATCGAAGCTCTGACGATCCAAGATGAGCCATATTTCTTTCTGTTTTTATTGTGAAGATAATCAGTTGAGGAAATCAATCACTAATTTTGAAAGCATTAGTCCTCAAACTTCACATTATTCAACTGATGTTTTCCACTTCCATCAAAGCTAACATTAGAAGTCTGTGTGATCCTAGTCATGCTGTTAAACATCTAAGTATCAGGATATAAACATCAGAAAACATTTAGTGAACACAAACTAGAGTTAGAACATTCAAGCATCAACACAAATTTTATCAACTTAATTAGAAACTGTATATCCATTAGTCTATATAAGACAGAATAGAAAGTGGGGGAACAATTACATGGCTGTTCAGTAATGTTGAATGACTTCCCAATACTGCAGAAACACAATGCAAATTCCTTAGAGCCAGAAAAGAAAGTACTGGAATATTTTTTCTAGTATTTACAACATATTTTGGCTAATTTTCTTTGTATTCAATACAAATATTGTTATAATTATAATAATATACATTTTCAACATATACCTTTTCTATATATGAATGACGACATCCTGGTCTTTCTCTACTTCCAATGCCTGTAACTTTTCTTACATAACTGTAGGGGTAACATCACTTTTTTTTTCTAATAATTTGCTATGACTATAGAATAATTTACATTTATTTACAGGATCTCTATATGAATGAACTTATTTACAAAATTACTAATATATATAAAAAATAAATATATGGTATATAAATATATAATGAGATCATGTAAAATTATCCTGATATTAAAAAATACATTGATGAACAATGCACTTGACCTTTCTTACTTATATATTTTAGGCTTCCATCAAGCCGATGCTCTAAGTTTCAGCTCATTGACTCTCCATGTGCTGCATTCTGCTTCACATCTTTTGTCACTTTGGGCAAAATTGTGAAACAGCTTAATATTGCTCTGCTCAGAATACCTCTAGATTTTTTTTTTTTTAAAGGCTGTTTCATTCACTGCAAAATACTTTAGAAATAAAGATAACAATCAAATGTCCTGGGTGCTTGGCCACATATCTAGATTAAAATCCACTGCCTGATGGAAAGCGTGTAGCTCAGAATAATTATTCCAACATTACTATACACACTGATAAACACTTAACATTAGCATTTGATAATATATAAAACTCCATAAACAATTATGCATATGAACATGCATAACAGCTCATATCTGTCACAATGCCTGGGTAACAGTGTCTATTGTCAATTGTAGACAAAGACCCAAACACTCACGGTCGTGGTAATTGTAGGAAATTTTATGCAGATTTTATGAGGCTTAATTTCAATAAATGTAACTTTTCCAGCTGGTTACACAAATCAACATGTTCAAATTGAAGCTGTTTGGTTCTCAATGTCCTTGCTTTTATTGGTTTAAGAACAACAATCATTTGTATAAACATTACATCTAGCAGTAAGTTTATATCTAAAAACAAGCAACTCCCACTCATAAGGCTACATCTGGCCCTCTACAAGACAACTTTCTTTACACAATCAGTCCAAGGTCCTGGACAGATAATACCTACATCCAATAAAACTAACAAAATGCCAGACAGCTGAAGCAGTGAAACAAGCACTCCAATTACTGATCCCTTTTACCAAGCACATGAAAAAGTAAACACAAAACAAAAAGAATGGTCTTTTTGGTGTCTTCCAATGACTTGACTGACACATTCCAAGGTAACTCAGTTTCATTAAGCCAGCACGGAAAGCCTTGTCTCGCTGGATCCAGCATAAGCAATTAAGTGTCTGCTGAGTGATACATGATTCATTAATGCTCAGGGTGTTAAACTAGTTTGTCATATGGATAATTTGCATCATGGAGAGCTTCTGATTACTATTTTTTCTAATTGATTTTTAAAAGTTCATCAAACTGTCATTATCCAAAATAATTCACCCAATCTCCTGTCATTGTTTCACATTGCTCTTTTCTTATCTTCAGAAAATAAACATTGAATAGTGAATTTTGAAAAGACTAAATCTATATATAAAAAAGAATTGGGAATTATTATCTTTAATGAACTCGCAAACATTCATTAAATTATTCTTTTTTAATAATCTTCACTTCTATATTTTTCTGTTCTATGCTCCATGTCTTCCCAATATATCTCAAAACACATCCTGCCTGCCCTGTTTTTTCCTAGTCCGAATGATCTGAGTTTAACACCCTATGGAGGCAAAGCCATCAGAGATACAGGGTGCTTGACATGAGGGGTGAATTTTGGTGGTGGCAATAGGGTCAGAGGGGGGATTATATACGTACAGGAGCCGGAGAGAGGGGACCTCCACCCACCAGGGGTGTCTGCTATGGGCCGGATCAGCGTCAGGTCTGAGGTGAGCAAACCAAAGAAGGGGTGGTGTGGGCCTGGCTCCCCACTTTTTCTTGTTTCTTCCACAGCAAAAGAGGAATCTACCTCTTTCATCAGAATTCTCTGCAACTGTATTAAGAAATGGCTTGCATCAATTATTTTCTTTTAATGCAAAAAACTAAAAACCTCACTAATCACCTCTGGAAAACTATGGTAAAGCTTTATGTGAACCAAACCAGACACAGCAACTTCAGCACTCCTGCAAAAAAAATTACAGAAAATATTCACCTTATCATTTTAATTCAGGCCAATGATGGGGGGAAAAAATAGGAAACGAAACTTACAGTAGCATGCCAAGACTGGGTGGTACGTCGTGCTGCAGTGGTCAGGGCCTCCCAGTGTTGTTCCAGGAAGGGAATAATGTCTCTCTGTAGACTAAAAAGGTAAGGTCCTGATCGACTTTCCTTTTCCTTTGCCATAGCTTGCTGCTGTAGGTTTGCCAGGGCTGTTACACACATGTCTCGCAGCTCTGTTTTCAAAAGAAGATGGTAGTATTATGCTATTTCATAATACTAAAAAAGAAAAAGAAAAAAAAGAAAGAAAGAAAGAAAAAAAATCCAAAATATTAGGTCCATAGAATCAATAAATATATATATATGTTCAAATACTGAAAGAAAACTGCTAACGGGCTTGTGTCTTCTTGAAGGATTCAACACCATTTGTTGAACAGTTCTTGCATGTAAAGGTGTAGTTCAGCATAAATGGTACCAACTTGCCAAGCTGGTATGTGATACAAGATTCATGGAACCAGGAACCACACTGCCAACACATCAGCTCTACAATCACAAGGTTTCGGAGCTTGCCACTGGTGGGGAGATAATAAATAATGATAAAATTTAATTCTGTCAAATTTTATATAGTCATAAAAAGTGGAAAATTTTATTATCTTTAAAAAGGCTAATTTAAATTACATTCATTAAATCATGATTCTAACAATATTTAATGACAGCACAGAACACACACAAAACATAAAATATTTAAGGAAAGTAATGACACAAATCAATGACACAAACACCAATAAAAATTTCTATAAACTAACCAATATCCACATGAAGAGAGGCCACCTTTTTCCCCAAGGTCAACGGTGGCAGATTCAATGACCTCATTGTCATCAGAATCGTAGTCCATGTTGTCTGGATTCTAGGACTGTCCTGTTCCCAAGAGAAGATGTTAATAGTTAGAAACCTGAAGAAAACATTATTATTTTACTAAACCTGTGGTTCTCAAACTTGGTGCCATGAGTGTGTGTGGGGGGGGGGGCTACAAGAGTTATAATATTTACTAACATCTATCAAAATAGTTTAATTGTATATAAAAAGAGAGAAAGAAACAAATAAAGAAGTTATTCAATGCATAAATATAACATTCACTGCTCCTGCTTCAGACTTCACCCTTTATCAGACCTTGATTTCACTTTGACTAAAGCACATTTATTTGGGAACAGAGCCACCTCCTGATATCACAATTCCCAGTTTAATTTGTTTATTGACAATTAATCAGAATATTATTAGATCAACTATCAGTCAGATAGAAAGCTACATTCTGCTTGAACATGGCAAGAACAGGTACCACTGGTTGTGATGCTTCCTGGAGATTTATCATCAAGTAAAGATAGTTTTGTTACTCAGCTGTGGTCCATAAGCCATATCATTATTTACATTACAATTACACATTCCCAGGTTATGTGCACCCAAGGATATGGCTACTGGAAATGGAGTTGTATGATCATTATTAACCCATTCGCCCCACGTGGCAAGAATAGATGCCATGCCCACTTTGATACTCGTTTATTTATTGTATTTACAAATAGATGGCTCCACAAGTTCTTAATCACCAAATAGCCAGTTATCAAGAACTACCTATTTCACCTGTTTACCCTTTTCCTTCATTTTAGGAAAGTTTTTTTTTGTATCTTTTCATTGTCTAAAATATTCTAATGACAATTTAATAATCATAACATCAATAACAATAATAACAGTATCGATAGCAGAAGTATTAATTTTCCCGTCAATTCAATGAATGGGAAAATCAGGATCGGTAACTAGGGCCTGCTGATAGACTCCTTGCCGACTGAGCACATGTGGAGCCATCTGTATGTAACAAAATTCACCAAATACTACAGGGGACAGAACATAAATCCGGGGCAAATGGGTTATTAAAAGCATAAAGCTGGTCATGGGAAGTTAGAGGCATCTGAAGGAGAATGAAAAGTACCAACAGTTAGCCTTGACTACTATGAGCTCAAACATCATAAATCTGATGAGAACTTGAGACTTGAGCCTGATCAGTATCGGTAAATAAATTTAAAAAAAATTCTTTATGGACAAAATTTATATGCAAATTTTGGAATAATCTTTACCCAAGAGGAATAGCCCACAATAGGCTTCAAGGCTGACACTGGCATTGGGTGGTAATGTTAAGGGAAAAATGACACTCAAGTCATATTTGGTTTACAATACAGAGAACCCATGTGCACTGAAGGGTAACACACAAGTCTACTTGGGTTCATCTTTATGATATTCTATGTTTATGTTGTGAATTACTTGTCAGCCTTCAAGCACAACAACTTGGTCAACAAAACCCTCTTTATGTTGGAGAATGCTCTTGCTCATTCATCAAATGTTAATGAACTTAAAACATAATATGGTGTTTCTGTCTCTTAACACACCGCACCAGCAATGCAATCATTTCACCTCTTAAGGTCTATTACATTATGGGAACACTGCTTTTGATGCTGAGCTGAATACTGCCAGGGACTTCTGACAAGCCTTAAAAGAAAAATAATAATAATAATAAAAAAAATAAAATAAAATAATAATAATAATAAATAAATAAATAAAATAAAATGCATGTTACTATTGTATGAGCTGACATCATGGCTACCACAGAAAGCTAGCCAGATGTGTGCATGAATCTTCTCTATTTTTCCTTAACAGGGAGCTCACAACTTCAACAAGTTACTACTAGGAGCTTCCAAAGTAGGAGAATCCATGGGCTTGGAAAGACTATACTCTTAGTGCTGCAGTCTCAAACAATCACTGCAGACTCAACACTTCAACAAACCTCCATCATGTACATTCTTACTGGACTGGTTCCCTTTATAATGCATTGCTAGCGAGGTCAACAAACTCTATCTTGGTAGGGTATACATGGAAAGAGCATTGGCTTTTGCTGGAGTGCCAACAGATGTAGAGGTTGCACTAATCTGAGTAAGCAAATCTATTACAGATGGACTGATGTGTATCTTCTTAACATCTACCACAGCAAAAATAACTTACAATGAAAAATAGCACATTCATTCAAAATACATATCAAAATATGTATCTACTCTGCAAAGTCATAGTTATCATATACTAAACAATCCCTGCCAAACTCTTGTGACAAGAAATCATCTTTGACAAGTGTTTAGAATGGGACTGTACGAAGTGATGCCGAGGTCTTTGCATTCCAGCACGTTGTCACAACAGAAGTCTAGACATTTCCAGGCTATTACAAAGAAAATAGTGCATTTGAAAATGCTGTTCATCATTTAGCCTACTTGAATTCCTATATCTCTCTTTGCAGACCCCTCTCTACAAACCCAACTACCTCATGTACCCACTGCACATACAGGTGGAGGGGGTAGGAAAGGGAGCAAGTTCAGAAACTCTGGATTACTTAAACAGCACCTAGCCAATATAGCAATTGTTTAAAAAGTAATTGCCCCCCTCTGAGACTAACATCCATCTTACAAGACATTTTATGGGACCTTCAAGTGTCTCTCATCCCCTAATAACATTAGAGGATCACATCTACACCCTCATCCTTCATTCCCCAATAACTGGATAGTTTGAGGGAAGGCTGTAAGGGAGGGGTATTCCTTATTTATGGTAGGCAATGCATGAGAATGACTTTAATATAATACATAACCTAGTAACTGTAATGTAGTAATATCTTTTTCTAGTCTAGCATACTAAATGTTTTTAAACATACACTACTAACAAAATTAAGGTTAATGGTAATGATAACATCCATTCTGAAAGAAAGTTTCTTATCACTAGATATTTTTCAATACTTTACTTTAACCAACTGGATCTAGGTGATATGTCATGGCATTAAAAAATTGGGTTGAAGGCCAGGTGATGGGAATATGCCGTCATGGAGATAACCAAACAGATAACCAAACCTCAAGGAATGTATCATTATCCTTTTTCATCTGCTGTCCTGAGTTTAAGTGCATTCAAAATTATTTTTGTTGATAAACATCTGTAATCTTGTTATGGACTCATCAATTTCATATGTTCTTACAGTTTAAATTGATTTTGAATATTTTGATAAGGCAGATTAATCATCAGAACATGTTTTATATAAATGTTCAAGTACATTGATCACAGCTCTCTGTGGGGTAAAATTTAAAAAATAAACATGAAGTACATCACTATAATAATATTCTAAACATAATTAGTTACTGTATTATCTAATGCAGGGGGCTCTGCCCCCTGCTGTTCCCTTCCTGTGGGCCTGCTGCCCCCCAACCCCAGTAATGGAAGACAAAGAATCCTCCAGATATTCACGTCAGGATACAGCATACACCCAACATGTGGGACCACCTGAAGCCGAGTCTGTCCTACATGCTATCCTGCTGTACATGTGTGGATTCCTTGTTGTCCAGGGCAGAGTAGGGGAACAGTAGACTTCCATGGGGGGAGTTGCAGGGGACATAACCCCTTTTATTTGACTATATATTGACCCATTCTCTGCATACTAATCATATTTTACCCCACAATTTCCCTTGTACTATTCATGCCCTCCTCTGCAATCGAGGTAAAGATTATGGGTTTTGGGGGAGGTTTCCACAAAATAATTTCTATCAATTTGGGTGACAGGTCATTGTGATTGGTGATGTAAAGGTATTCTGAATATTTACCAAACCTTCCTAACCAAGGGTTTTTTCCCCCCACCCCCCACCCATCATTGTATTTCTGTCCGAGGGGGCTCCTCCCCTGATCACCGCCAGATTGCCGTGTACTTGTACTCTGTGCAGCATTTGTCACAACCTATTTTCTTCATTTCTGACACTATCCTTTGCCTGTACTAATTATTTTACATATCAATAAATATAGTTTTTTCCTTCTTTATGAGACTAGAATTTTCCTATCCTAGTATGGTCATTATATAGATGTATACCTAAGTGCTACATGTAGCCAAAAATTCTTATAATCAACTTGCTTGGGAAATACCATGGACCTTATGGCTGTGTAAAATTGATATATTATATTCAGGCCTTCCTGGGAAAGGCGTGCAATTGCACTCGCACGCGCTGATACACACCTCATCACTTTGGGAAGTGTGTTTAATCACACGCCTATTCATAAAAATTCAGTTGTTATTTACAGCGCCAGGAATTAACAAGGTGACAGAATAGCTTTGATTCAAGTTTTAAAATTAGTTTGAATTGAGGGCTACAAAGTTCACGACCCTTGAATTAAAGGCTGGTATAATTTACTGCATAATGCAAAACAAATGACAAAACACGAATAGCACTCCACCACACTCCTACCACAGTCTAGGGGTGCAAAATGCCACACTTGTAATTAATTCCCAGGAAGGCCTGATATTTGTGGGATATTACAATGGACAACAGATTAAAATAAAGAGGAATCTGAACGCTAAGTTACCATGAAAACACTGGCATCCACTACATTAATGTTAAACTCTGACTGTATTGAGAGTAAAATAAAAAGAAAGAAAGAAAACAATGCTTATGTGTATATGAAGATGGAGCCTTTTTCTGTTTACAAATGTTACAATTCAGACATTAATAGTTATGATGTCATTTACTCCTCCTTCAAATTAATCTCAAGCACTTATGCCCTGCACTCAAAGGTTCTCTGATACCGATATTAAAGCCATACCTTCGTGATATTTGCTATAACGACCGGTACCTCTGCGTTCTTGAAGCTCCTCCGCCATATGTATTTACAAATTGAAGCAGCGCGATTGGTTAGACATCTATGACGTCACGAGTGTGATGCGTACGTTTATTGGCTGACTAGCTCCCCAGACTCGAGCTAGGACAGGTCGCTCATTGGTCGAAAAATATATGACGTCAACGTTACGTCACATTTCGTCATCAATTTCCTTGGTTCCCATTGGCCCGACGACAATATTGACTCCAAGACGAAGGTGCCATGGCAGTGATGGCACTGGAGGCCACAGTTACGTTGGCTGTCCCGAGAGGAACTCACCCTTTCACATACCTGACGATGTGATAGACAATATACTTTTCCGTTTTTTGATGCAACTCTTGCATTATCTGACTGCGAGGCAGAGTGACATGAAGTGTTAACGATGTCTGACGACACGGGTCCAACCCAAATCTCAGATGAGGAGTGTCTAAAAGAACGAAAATGGTGGTACTTCTTGCTGTCGAGTATCTTCACGTTCTTAGCGGGGATCTTCATAGTTCTGATATGGCGGGCCTTCTCCTTCCTCTGCTGCCGGAACCGGGACTCCTCGGAGTACCAAAAGCAGCAGGAAAAGGAGAAACTGCTAGCACAGCAGCAGGGACAACCCCCTGGCCAGCCCAAACCCAAGAACCTGATGGAAGGGAACTTCGTCACAGAAGCCAAGGACTGGGCGGGGGAGCTCATCTCGGGCCAGACCACAACAGGCAGAATCCTGGTGAGTACACACAGATCTTCTTTAAGCTGGTGAAGGAGGCGAGGGGTTGTTTTGACAGCTCGTGGGCCATGGACCTGGAGCTCTCGGGGGCAGCGCTGGATGACAGTGCGTGGGGGAAGTGGACGAGGCAGAGCTCTTAAGTCCAGCGCAGTAGGTAGGAATGCGGCCAAAGCTCAAATTAAAACTTTTAATTTATTTATGGATGAGCTAGGCCTATCTCGCGCAACATATGGAGGAGGACGACCGGGAGACTGCGATTACAGGATTCTTTAAGCGTGAGGATAAATGATGCGAGTCTGCGCCTCAGCGAAGTTCTTCAGGCGAGCCATGATTTCCAGATGATCCTTAGAATAACAGCTGCAGAGCGCCAAAGCCTCCGCCATGATGGACGCTGCCGGGAAGGTCTTCGGTGCGGAAGCCATCATGGTGGCTGTGACAGGCTGCCTGCTGGAAGCGCTGGACGGGGCTGGTCGGAGGGATGGCTGGGGTATGGACTGCCCAGTGTGTTTTAGGGCTGAAACACTTAGCTAGGTGATTGGGAGGCTGGAAGTTCTGACCAGGAGTATTTTAGGTTTTATGTGTAGAAATGTTAGCAGGTGGATGCGCGTAGCATTACTGTCTTTATGTTCAGCATATAAACGTCTGCTTACGTAGATGGGTATATGTTTAACTGTAATATACTGTATTTATCACAGTAGACATGTAGATTCGCCCACAGGTATTATATGAATAGTCGTTTTAAGTTTATTTGGTTTTGTCGTTATTTAGAAAGATAACTACGAAAGGGTATGCGATCGACTCTCGGAAAAGGGTGTAATATTATCTTAATCCACATAAAAGGGAGATTTTTGGAAAATATGCTGAACGTCTTACTCCAGCTTTTCTTGCAAAAGGCGGCATGCTTATGCTCCCAAAAAGGCTTAGGCAACCACTTTCTTGCTCATCATGAGAGCAAAAATGCTTCTTTTCATCTAACATTCAGGAAGAAGTGAATATAAAACGTGACTCGGCCTGAACTCATGCGGCACGAGCTCTTAACCTAATCGATTCAGCCGTACCACAAAATCACAATGATTCAGACAATCCCTTCGTTATAGATTTAATAAAACGGATTAGCAAAACGGAAAGTTGCCGAGTTGCCTCTGAATCCAGGCAAAGAGAGAGACCAGGTCAGCCGGCCGTCAGGTCACTGGGATGGGGGAAGGGAACGCGCAGGGGGCCGATCGGGCAGGGGAGGGAGCTCCGGAGGATCAGTCGTGGTGGCAAGTGGATTGCTTGCTTGTTCGTGCTTTTGTTGATGTTCACAAGCATTTACCCGCTAATGCATGTGGTAGTCATCGACAAACGTAAGGCAGTGTTTGATTTACGATGGTCTGGAATCCATTGTCATTCTCTGTTGCCTGTGTAATCTTGGCGCCGTAGCTGTCCCTGTCTTTTGGAACCGTCATGTTGTTCCACAGACGTGGACATCTTACGTGATTGCATGTGTAAGTGTCATACACCTTGTCGCATGAGGTGGATGTTATATCTTTACATCTGAGGTTTAACGGCCGTTCTCGGCCGTAATAGTTTTTTCTGTCTAGACATCTCCCTTCACGATGACCGATATTCGTGGACGTAATTGTTAAACATTACATTTGAAGATAATAAAAACGCCGTATTTCAGACGAAGAAAGAACGCACAAATGAACATGTTCGGTCGCGCGCGCGTACACACGCACCCCCTTCCCCCCTCACATACACACATTCTTACCCGTTGTCCCGTAACCTGGAAGCCCCAGTGCGTTGCTCAGACTCGCTTGTCATGTCGCCTCAGACACGAAATACGAACTTGTAAAAGCATTCTCAAGACTTCCCTGTCGTATCTCAGGCAGACCATAATATCAGTCACTCTTGATTCCCAGCTGTTGATCTATTTCTCCTTTCCATTTGATTGGTATGATTCTATTGAATAGACGAATAAGTTAGAATTCTCTGGGATGTATCTGCTGACATTTGTGAGATATTCTCTTGCTTTTCTTTTTTTCCTTTACTGCGTCATAATTCTCACTATGAATAAGTGTGATCGTTCTCTGTATTCTCAAGGAAAATAATGTGTCTCGTACGCTAATACTGACAATAAATTTGCGCGGCCTGGACAGCAGTCCCAATAATTTTCCGGCCGCTGGCCTTCGTAAGGGTTCGGTAAGGCGAAGCGAACACAATGAAGCAGTAAAGGAAAGGCAGAGACGGGAGCGGAATTCGAAATTTCATGTTTATTTACTATTGCTTTTCCTAAGAAAACGCTCTGTCGCATATCAGCTTATTCACTTTTTGTATTCATTTATTTATATATTATTTTATGGATTTATCTTGGATGGATCTCTGTTTTGGAATGTCGCTGTCACAAGAATCAGAGTCGTTCAAAGCTCAAGGAAGACAAAATCGAGATTCGAGACAAACGAGGTGGACATTTTGCTCGAGCGCTATCGTGCCATCTTTACTTCAACTCTTTCTATCTCTTCTGTCGGGCTTTCCAATGACTCATCTTTATTCTCTTCGTATTATTATCTGCACTGCCTCTCAACCCTTTTCCCTCCCTCCCACCCTCCCACCCTCCCTCTCACCCTCCCTCTCACCCTCCCTCTCTCTCAGACGGCGCCTTCCTTCCAAGTTAAAAATGGAAAAGACATTTATATGCGTTTCTGCTTCGGTCTAAGTGACGTTTCGCGATTCCGAGGAGGTATTGATGGCTGTCTTGTTATTTTTCGAGATTTGAGAGGAGGAGGTGTGAGAGGGGATGGGGGAGGAGTCTTGCTTTTTACGGAGAGACAAGTTGCAGTTCGTGCATGATCGGCTGCTTAGGTTGTCAAGTGCGGAGGTATGAAAAGTATTTTCATCCTAGTCCTCTCCTTCTATTTCCCTTCTTCGCCCCCTCCTTCACTCTTCCATCCTTCACCCCTTACCATCATCCCTATTTCGAATTCACCTCACCTCCTTCACACCCTTCCCCCCCCCCCCCCTTCCCCCCTCACATACACACATTCTTACCCGTTGTCCCGTAACCTGGAAGCCCCAGTGCGTTGCTCAGACTCGCTTGTCATGTCGCCTCAGACACGAAATACGAACTTGTAAAAGCATTCTCAAGACTTCCCTGTCGTATCTCAGGCAGACCATAATATCAGTCACTCTTGATTCCCAGCTGTTGATCTATTTCTCCTTTCCATTTGATTGGTATGATTCTATTGAATAGACGAATAAGTTAGAATTCTCTGGGATGTATCTGCTGACATTTGTGAGATATTCTCTTGCTTTTCTTTTTTTCCTTTACTGCGTCATAATTCTCACTATGAATAAGTGTGATCGTTCTCTGTATTCTCAAGGAAAATAATGTGTCTCGTACGCTAATACTGACAATAAATTTGCGCGGCCTGGACAGCAGTCCCAATAATTTTCCGGCCGCTGGCCTTCGTAAGGGTTCGGTAAGGCGAAGCGAACACAATGAAGCAGTAAAGGAAAGGCAGAGACGGGAGCGGAATTCGAAATTTCATGTCTATTTACTATTGCTTTTCCTAAGAAAACGCTCTGTCGCATATCAGCTTATTCACTTTTTGTATTCATTTATTTATATATTATTTTATGGATTTATCTTGGATGGATCTCTGTTTTGGAATGTCGCTGTCACAAGAATCAGAGTCGTTCAAAGCTCAAGGAAGACAAAATCAAGATTCGAGACAAACGAGGTGGACATTTTGCTCGAGCGCTATCGTGCCATCTTTACTTCAACTCTTTCTATCTCTTCTGTCGGGCTTTCCAATGACTCATCTTTATTCTCTTCGTATTATTATCTGCACTGCCTCTCAACCCTTTTTCCCTCCCTCCCTCCCACCCTCCCACCCTCCCTCTCACCCTCCCTCTCACCCTCCCTCTTTCTCAGACGGCGCCTTCCTTCCAAGTTAAAAATGGAAAAGACATTTATATGCGTTTCTGCTTCGGTCTAAGTGACGTTTCGCGATTCCGAGGAGGTATTGATGGCTGTCTTGTTATTTTTCGAGATTTGAGAGGAGGAGGTGTGAGAGGGGATGGGGGAGGAGTCTTGCTTTTTACGGAGAGACAAGTTGCAGTTCGTGCATGATCGGCTGCTTAGGTTGTCAAGTGCGGAGGTATGAAAAGTATTTTCATCCTCCTAGTCTCTCCCTCTCCCTCTCCCTCTCCCTCCCCCTCCCCCTGCCCCTCCCTCCCTCCCTCCCTCCCTCCCTCCCTCCCTCCTATCATTCCCTCTCCATTCTCCCTCCTTCGTCACCTCTTGCTCTCCCGCTTTCCCTCTATCCCTCCCTATTTTATTCTTTCCCTTCTTGCTCCCCCTCTATTTTCTCCCCTCACTCTTACCCTTCCCTCCCATCTCCCCTCTTCCCCGTTTGCCCTCCCACCCTTCCTCTCTATTTCCCTTCTTCTCCCCCTCCTTCACTCTTCCATCCTTCACCCCTTACCATCATCCCTATTTCGAATTCACCTCACCTCCTTCACACCCTCCCCCCCCCTTCCCTCTCTTACACACACACACTCAACGTTGGGTATTTGCTGACGTTAACTGCCGCCCGCTGTACTTACATTGACAGAGAATGGGTCCTGCCGAGTTCCTTCGTCACACGCGACAGTTAATTGTGTTCCTGCTTTGAACTGAATAGCAAATTGGAGGTGTAAATCTTGCATTCGAAACGGCGGGTTATGTTGTAATAATTTTGAATGCGTTGTTTCTTTCCCGTGTTTTATTGTTAGGCATATAGGAATAATGAATACTATTTTACTACTACTGTTATTTTTTATTGTTATTGTTATTATTGATATTATCATCCTTATTAATATTACTACTACGGCTGTTGCTGCTTCCGCTGTTGCTTTTAGACTACTACTACTACTACTACTGCAATTTTTATTGTTTGTTTAATATTTTTTATCTTCCCCTGTTACACCTTTTCTCTTTTCAGATCTATTTTTTCCTCATCATTTACTTTTTCGTTCCTCCCCATCTCTCCTCTCGTCCTTTCTCCCTTCTCCTCTCCTCGTCATTTCCAACCTCTTCTCTCTATTTTGTTCTGTGATATCCCATTTCCTCCCTTCCCCTTCTCCCATATCCTGTCATCTCATATCATACCTTCCGTTTTCTTCTCTTTT